GCCACGTGGGGCTAGTTCGCGCCGGGCACCCCGCAGCGGACCGGCAACGTGGAGGCAGCCGTTGGCGCAACCAACGGCGCGGACCAGGGCGGTGTGGGGCCGCTGGAGGATGCGACGCCCATGGACGCCTATTTGCTCAAACTGGGCTTGTATTGGAAATTGGTCGCCAAGGCCGGGTCGTGCTTGTTCAGGGCTGTGGCCGAACAGGTGAAGGGACTGGGCCAGAACTGGACGGGCTTGGAGCTGGGTGCGACACGCTACCCGCAGCTGCTTGGCCGCCCACGGCAGGGCCGCATGTGGCTCGCTGGCAGGGTCTGTTAGTTTTCTGACGTTGCTGTGACCACAAAGCCTGAGTGAATTGACTTCAGGGAAGACTTACTGTGGTTCGTGGTTCCTGAGGGTCCCATCCATCAGCTCACAGAGAGCATGGTACAGCAGCTGAGTTGATGGCATGAGACACACATGGTGGAGACCCCAGAGTTCAGGGCAGTAGCAGCGGCAGGTGTAACCCACAAAGCCCTTGCCTTTGACTGCTTCTACCAGGGAGGCTCTTTTTCCTACAGACTCCACAGGTTCCCAAAAACAGCACCACCAGCGAGCGGGCAAACATTCAAAACCGGCATTTCAGACTCAAGCCACAACCGATGACAGAGGTTTCAACACATACACCAGCCATGAAATACTTTGGCCTTGGAGTACACCTTCCATCCACCTTAGGTTCCATGGCATGTGGCTGCATTGAGGCACAATGCACCAAGCTCTAAAACCCATAATACTCACCTGCTTTCAGTGAACCCCGAGACAAGGACAAACTGCAGCGTCTGAGCCAGGCCGTCCAGCGTCACTGGATGTGTGGAGGATACGTGAAAGGGCAACCTCTCACTGAACGGACAGGATGTCTGGGGACGCTGCGCCCTTGGAAGGTGGAGCTGTACAGGAATGAAGTCGCAGTCTTCCAAATTATTATGCATCCTGAGGGGAGTTCCAAGCTCCTGAAGCTTTCCACCTGGAGGATGGGAACAGATGTGGGGTTTGTTCTTCGTTTCTTTTTTCCATTCCAACTGGATGGAAAATGCCTATAGTGACTGTATTTTAAGTTGGAGTATTTCTGAATCTGCATCAACTCCCGACAAGCCAGTCTACACATTAGCATGGGTGTACTTCTGGTACTCAACTTCGGCAGCACATATACTAAAATTGGAACGGTGCAGAGAAGATTAGTATGGTCGCCCCCGCACGTGGAGGACACGCAAATTCGTTAAGCGTTTCATACTTTTTTTTTTAAAAGAGTATTTGGGAGCCTTACCAGGGTTGTCTAATTGTTCCTTCTGTTTTATAATGGATCACTGGTGAGTGTGCCCAGTTTTCAGTTATAGTAGCTGTTTTATGGTGGATGGTTCAGGATGCCTAGTCATTTATTGTCCACACGTGTGATGTTTTACTTCTATCAGGAATAGATGAGCTAAAAATGGCTTTTCAAATGAAGAATGGTGATAGTGTGGGCTTCTTCCAAAACCAACAGTGCTTTCTCTGCAGTTTGGGGTCTCCAAACAACACCTTTGTGACATGCACACATCCTGTGATGCTGGACATCCTGGCTCAGATGCTGCAGTTGTCCTTGTCTCAGGATTCACTGAAAGCAGGTGAGTATTATGGATTTTCATAGCTTGGTGCAATGTGCGCAAATGGGGTCTTGTCACGTGCTGTATTTCTTTGTGGTGAATTGTGGGAAGTGATGCCACTTCCCTTCTCCATAGAAAGGATTTCCCAATATGCCCCAGACCTCTGGACTCCTTGAAACATCAAAGAGGTAGGGCCTTGAACTTTTACAGGATTTATTTGCTGTCCTTTTAATTTTATTATTAGTCTGATTTGTTTGCATATGAGGGCAGTTGCTCACAGAGTCCAGAAGAGAGAGTTGGATTCTCCATAACTGGAATTAACAGGTGGCTGGGAGCTGTCTGACATGGGTGCTGGGAACTGAAATCCATCCTCTGTAAGAGCATGTACTTTTTTTTTTTTAAATTTATGTGCATTGGTGTTTTCCCTGCATGTATGGGGGTGTCAGATCCCCTAGAACTGGAGTTACAGACAGTTGCATGAGCTTCCATGTGGGTGCTGGGAAGCGAACACGGGTCCTCTGGAAGAGCAGTCTGTGCTAACAGCTGAGCCGTCTCTCCAGCATGCACCCTTAGGCACTGAGTCATTGCCAGTCAATCTTTTACTGGCAAAGCAGGACACCCCACACAGATAAAGGAATTACCGCCTGACCTGTTTGCATGCTTTTACAGCAGCAGCAATAGCTACAACACTGATATTTTGGGGCTGTCCAAACTAAACTGCTCAGGGTGTGATTTACAGGCCCTGTTTATATTAGCAGTAACATTGGAGCTGGGCCTTGTGCTCCTTCCCCAAACTGCACACAAGAATAGCAATAGGATTCTGTGGTCTTTTGGCTTCTGCAACTGGCCAATGTCAAGCCCATGCATCTCCCCTGCTTCCTTCTCTATAATTCCTAAATGTTCTTGTTTGAATCCATGTTGGCTACCTCATGGCTGCCACCAAACAGAAGGGAAGAAACCTTTCCCCATATCCCCTTATAGGTTATATTGCTTGATTTATTAACTTGATATGTCACGTGGAAGGAAGGTTTTTAAAAGATTTATAATTTTTTTAATAAAGAAAACAAACTATCTTTTTTCATTATATATACCAAATCCAATTTACCACTCCTTCCCCTCCCATTCCCTCCACATACCTTCCCATGCTACCACCTCCCATCCACTCCTCAGAGAGAGTAAGGCACATTGCTTTGGGGAAGGTCCAAGACCCCGCCCCCTCACTATATCTAAGCTGAGCAAAGTATCCATCCGAAGAAAACAGGTTCTCAAAAAGTCAGTAAAAGCAGTAGGGATAAATCCTGGTGCCACTGACAATGGCCCCTCATTCTGCTCCAGCTTTGCAACTGTCAACCACATTCAGTTTGGACCTATGCTTGTTCCTTCCCAGTCCGACTGGTGTTGGTGAACTCACATTTGCTCTAGGAATTCCTGCAGCCAACAGCCTTTAAGTTACCTGCCCACTTGGGCGTGGCCTCATATACTATATATGCTGATATAAGCGTGAGTATGGTCTCTCTTTTCCAGCTGCTGGATTTGGTTGCTGTTCCTTGTTCAAGCAGAGGATTTGATCTGTAAGTCTACCCCTAAATAAATAACCTTTTATTATACTCAATTCTGAGCTAGTGTGGGATTTCTTTTTTAGTGTCCCTCTTCACCCATTAGCTCAGGTAGACTGTTTCAGCGGGTAAACCCATCATGGTCTTGACATCTTTGCTCATATTCTCATTCCTCCCTCTCTTCACCTGGACTTTGGGAGTTCAGTCCTGTGCTCCGACGTGGGTATCTGCCTCTGTTTCCATTAGTTGCTGGATGAAGGTTCTATGGTCATATTTAAGATATTCATCAGTTTGACCACAGGGCAAGGCCAGTTCGGGCACCCTCTCCTCTATTGTTCAGGGTCTTAGCTGGGGTCATCCTTGTGAATTCCTGGGAATTTCTCTAGAGCCAGGTTTCTTACTAACCCCATAATGGCTCCCTCAATCAAGATTTCTCTTTCATAGGTTTATTATATATATGGTGCTCTGTCTGCATATAAGCCTGAACGCCAGCAGAGAGCATCATATGTGGCTGCTGGGAATTGAACTCAGGACCTCTGGAAGAGCAATCTCTCCAGTCCTGTGGAAGGAGTTTTACAGGACCCAGGACATGGTTATTTTTTCCTAGTAACCCTCCCTCCACGGGCAGGAGAGCAGACTGGCAGCCCACTAGTTAGCTGTGTCAGTGTGTATGTATGCGCGTGTGTGTCCCTTCTGCTTTGTAAAGCGGATCCTCAGTGGCTGGCCATTGATTTGGCTTCATGGCATTCTTATCGCTGCTCCTTCTTTGCACCACACTGTGCTAGGCATAACTGTCTGACTCTGGAGTTAGGCTCTGACACCTGCCCCCTTAAAATTTGGTTTCCCATCACTTTATGTGTGTGTGTGTGTGTGTGTGTGTGTGTGTGTGTGTGATATAAAATTATATTTCTGTGGGATGAGAACTACATTAGGAATGAGCTAGGCAAGGCAAAGATGCAGCTACTCAGGAGAGAATGCAGTCATGGGAAACCAGAGCAGAACAAAAGCGAGGGGCCAGGGTCTCCACCTCTATCCACCTAGTGACATGGGTGGGGACTTTATTTTCAGTCCCTGGTTTTACAGGCCCTTGTTCTCTCTCTGAATTCATTGCAGAGCCCTGTAAAGTCAGCAGATCTTGCTTTAAAGTCAGGGACTATCAACTGTGGGACATAGTAGCACATACTCTTAAAACTAGCACTGAAGAAGTAGAAACCAGGTGGGTGTCTATGAATTTTAGGCCAGTCTGTCTACACACAGAGACTAGAAAGGAAGGGAGGAAGAAAGGAAGGACAAGAGAATGGGAGGGAGGGAAGGAGGGAAGAAGAAAGAAAGGAAGGGAGGACGGGAGGAAGGAAGGAAAGAAGTAACATCTTTGAAATAAAGCAGAGCCTTTATGAGAGAACATATTTAAGTGAAAAACTCAATATTTCTGACTTCTCTACTGTTGGGTAGAAGTTTCACCAAAAATGAACTCCAGCTTAAAAACACATGCAAAATCCCACCTGCATCTGACACCTCTGTCTCTTCATTGCCCCATTTTTAATAATAGTTCTTAATGGTTCAAGAATTTTAGTTTTTTTCTGAGGAACTCACAGTCTAAGAAAAACAGACAAACATGTAATGGCTGTAACAAAACATGAACGATGGTGCTGAAGTGTTGAGATATATTTCAGAAATTTTGTAAAAAAAATGGTTTTCTGTGAGAAAGAATGGGAAAGACAACCATAGGCAACAAAGAATGTGTGTGACTGAACATACAGAAACAACCCTTGTTAGACAGCCTATCCAAAGAAGACTGTCATTGACCAAGAAGTAAACATTAAGGACATTTGGTTGTAGAGCAAGAGCTTTCTCTTATTTTCTGAACAATAGTGTGTGAGATATTTTCATTAGTGATTAGGAATTTCCCCCTAACCAACTATTTTAGTTTAAACCAAACAAAAGTTGTAGTGCCCCTTTAAGGAGAAGTTGTAAAATGGAGATCTCAAAAGAAATGGGGAAGGATTGTGGAAGTCAGTCTCCAGGCTCTGGGTCACAGAGTGACAGGAATATACGTACTATTCCATTTGTATCTTCAGGAGACTTGGTCCCACATCATTTTGCCCATGTGACCAACAGGCAGAATTGCCCCGGTTTCGGGTGATGACAAACCAAGTATTTAAACATCAAGCAGAATCTAAGGTCAGAGAAAATGTTTGGGCAAATCCGTCACTTGAAACTTCTCACCTGGAAACTGCCTGTCTCTTGGCACTGGTGTGGAGATCACCTGTGAAGTGGAAACTCCCTGTCTCTCGGTGCTTCTGTGCAGATCAACTCATATAATATGGGTAAAGAACGTAGAAAATGACATTATAGGCCATATTCATGCATCTAATTGGACACTGATGTTTGCTTGTTCCCTTGATTTAGAAAGACTTTACGATCCCATTTACTATTGTTTTATTTGCAAACCTATACAGTTAAAAGCTGAATGCATAGAATACGGTGTCAGAATGCCAGTGAGTAGGACTTTTTAACACAAGTTCCAAATGTGAACATATATTGGCAGTTACTTCCAAATGAGCCTTTTTTTTTTTTTTTTAAATGACTTTCCTACTCGGTTCAGAAATTATGCAGACAAATTCCTCCTTAGGGCTCAAACTCTAGCAACTGACTAAAATCTAAGCGAGTTTCCTAGTCTTTTTCCAGCTGGCTCCCAATTCCACTCCTAAAGACAACTGGGGAACCGTCTGAGAAAAAGGCTGTCTCAAGTTCCACTCCACAGTGTTCACTAAAGCTTTCTGTTAGGTGGAATAAAGTCTAAAGAATGAAGAAGGTGTTTCTGAAAGGGTTTCAGTTCCTACAACTTCCGGAACCCCCCTCAGGCTCCACTAAGACCCAGCAAGTCAGGGAAACCACTAGTCCTCTGCTACCCTCTCCTGCATCCCTCGCCCCGCCCTCCGGTAACCTAGGTAACAGTCATGCCCTTCATCTGTAGCTGATGTAACATCAATCATAAAGGCTTGATGTTACTGGACAGGGTTTGCCTAGCTTGAAACTCCCTGCAGGTCGTTGGTGTTGAACATCTGAACAGAAACGCCACAAGTGGACTCATTTCTTTTGAAGTTCTGTGGAAATTCCAGAAGCGTGGGTGAGGAAGTCACGGGCCGGGTCCTCCGGGGTGGGGGTGGGGGGGGGAGACTCGCCTGCCAGAGCAGGGGGAGGGAGTCACTGGCTTCCATCTGCAGGTGGGATCCCCCCAGGTCACCCCGGCTGTCGGGGCCATGGTGCAGCCAAGACTTTAGGCAACCCTCAAGTGAGCAGCGACTGCACCGTGGTGGACCGGGTGCATGCTTTTTAGCCGGCGAGGATGCAGCCAGCATCTGCGAGCACCCCGAGTGGTCGCCACTTTGGCAGCCGCAACCACAGCCGAGAATGCGGTGCAAGCGGCTGCTGAATTTTCCCCTGTAGAGAGCCAGAGAAGAAGAAAAACCAAAAAGAGAAGGCACCAAAATCTCGGCTTGGTTCGTTTTTTGAGCTGTTCAAAACTAATTTGTTTATGAAAATGACCTGTGTCTGTGATCGGAACAACTGGAGGCGATGGATCCGACCCCTGCTCGTACTTATTTACTTAATTTCCATCCTCGTCTCGGTTCCCTTGTGTGTTTGGAAACTTCAAAAAGTAAAGATAGGAGGGTCCAGCACCTCTACCCTTTCCTAAGCTAGTTGGCAGAATCCCTTTGCCCTCTCATGCTTGGGGTCTGAAAACCTTTTTGTCTTTGAACATACAACCCGTCTGATTTCTGATTTCATTTTGCCGCTACAACTAGAGGTGGGACTGGGTGGAGAAAATAGTTAACATTGTTGCTGAGAATACTTTGCCAATACCTACCCATCAATTCTCAGAGAACTCTTCTTGAAATCAGATCTGCTGTGCATTTATTGGTCTTAACCAGATAAAATAAACTCCCTTGAAAGCTACATTATGGATTTTAGAAGCTCTTCCTGAAACAAAAGGATTCCCTTTATTTTGACTTGCTAATTGTTTTTACGTTTGAAGTTAAGTCTTTTATTGATTTCTTTCTTTAATGGGATAAAGTCTCATGTAGACCATGCTCTTTGAAATTTGCCTTGTAGCCTAGAGTAATCCTCCAAGCAAATTCAGAGCGCTTCTGATTATTGAACGCTGGGGATGTGTAATGAGCGTGGAACCAGATTCCTCTGAATGAATAAAGAAAGGGGAATCTGTAGTGTAGATAGAACAGGAAATTTATAGAATAAAAATAAATGCAACTTGGTGTAATGTAAAAGCATTTCTTCCTGTGTGTGGTATGGAAAATTACTAAGGTAAAATATTAAGAGAACAATTGCCCATTTGAAGGCTGCCACACCCATCCGTCCCTACCAGATGGAGAGGCTGCATCCAGCAACTGTGGTAACGAAATAATCTTGCCACACAAGAGGGACCCCCACCCTTCTGTGGCCAGTCGATATTGATAACCTAGGACACCTGGTTATTGGAAGAATCAAGCGAAGGGCAGTTTTGAACTGACTTAAAAGAGGGGGCTGAAGCAGAATGGTTATCTCACTTCTCACGATGGCTCAGGTATCTGGCCTCGTGGAAAGAGAGATCCTCCAAGCCTGCCTCCCGAAAAGCAGAAATATTAAACGCCTTGCCTAAACATCTAATGCTCTGTCTCCCGAGTACAGAGCTTCATATCCCGAAAACAGACATTTAACGCCTTGCATCCCGAATGCAAAGCCTCATTCCCTGAGAGTGAACATTGAAGGTCTGTCTCCCGAGAACAGACAAGATACTCTGCCTTTCAGAACGCTTTGCCATCCCGAGAGCAAAGGTTCGTCTTCTAAGCAGACAGAATGCTTTGCCATCCCGAGAGCAAAGCTTCGTCTTCGAGAGTAAAGAACTAAAAGCCTTGTCTCCTGAGACTTGATCACCCGAAAAGCCGAGTCCCAAGGCCCTACATTCTGAGATAGACTAGCACCAGGCCAGAGACTACGCGGTCAAAGATTGATCCAGCACCCGATACCAGCCTGGAACAGGACATCGGAACCTTATCTCCCGAACGCAGACTATGGGGTCAAGAGTAGAGCCTCGCTATCCAGCCCCCAGTGCGGTCAGGCATCCAGCCTGAAGAAAATCAAAAAGCCCTTTTTAAGCTGAAGAATACCAGGTCGTATGATGCTAGTTCATGCATGTATGAGATGTTAAGAGCACAGACATGTTAATACATATGTTTAGTGTGTGAAATGTTAAGACATATAACATATTGATAATTGATAAGATTAGGAAATGTTAATGTGAAAGCCCCTCCCCATACTTGAAAGACCCCCATGTCCGCATACTATGTTAAACTCTGCTGAAACTTAACTGAGCCATAGAAAGAAAGCCCCCAGGCTCAGCTAATGACTCTGCGAAATTTAGCTGGGCCATAGAAGAAAAGTCCCCCTTGCCCAGCCGATGCTAAAACAGGATATCTATGGGTTGCAGACTCACTGACTAGGCTGAGGAGAGGGAGTACCACACCCCCAAGGCATTCTATTGAAACTGTCAACTTGGTGCAGGGTTCTCTATCTAGCTTTGTGGTTTTTCGGGGAAATTTGAGAATAGACATGGGGCCCTTCCTGGGGTGAGCTAAGCCCGCCAATTTGAGAACCAATGAAATGCTTGCTATACAGCTTCTTATGTAACTCTCAAATCCCTATAAATACATAATGTGCCTTCAGCCCGGCATGCTCAGTAACTTGGTTGCTGTAGCATCCGCAGGCACCTGTGTATCCAATAAACTACCTCATGCTTTTGCATCCAGTGGATTGGTTCTGGTTCTTGGGTGGAGAACTAACTCCCCTATAGACTCCTCTCTGAGGATCTTTCATTTATTAGTTAAGGCCCCCATTTGAGGTGCTTATCTGCAGAGAATCATAACTTCCCTCTGCTCCTGGAGTTGAATGAGGAAGTTTGAGTGCACATGATTATTCCTTGATCCCTGCTGGGGTCAGGTGACAGTCCCTACTGGGGACAGGTGAAGGTTAAATACACGTGATCAGTCCTTGACCCCTACTGGGGTCAGGTGAGAGTCCCTCCTTAAGTCAGGTGACAGTCCCTTCTCAGCCCCCTCCCCATTTGTTGCCATGGTATAAAAGCTAGCCCCAACAGAACAATAAACAAGCTGCTGTTTCACCTCAACCTCGTGCTCTGTGGATTTCATTCAACCTGGACAACCTCCACCGAGACTTGTGGTTCCAGACCGTGCTGGCGCGGTATTTATGAACTGAGTGCCTTCAACAGGAATTTATCTTTCACAGTCTTGAAAACTATTCTGGAGTCAGATATCATGGGGGCCGGAGGGGTTGCTCTCTGGGGAGGGTGTTCTCAGGTCACAGGTGGCCATGCTTTCACTGAATCTCAGGTTGTTGCCCGATCTCATTTTGCGATCAACAGTCCTATGAGACTATAACCTCATTTTACCTCAGTCACTTCCCATCAGCCTTATGCCCAAATATGGCTGTTTGCATTCAAGGTTAGGTTTCAACCTCTGTCTGAAAGGGGAGCACACCTAGGTACTAATGGTCAGACTTCAATGTACGCAGTTAAATAATGCTTTAGATCAAGGACACAGAGAAGGAACAACAGTAATGGACCTAGCACCAGTATTTCACAGGAATTTACAAAGAACAAAGTGAATGCCTGGGAAGGAGGGTTTCGGGGAGCATTTTGACTGGTGTCCATTGTTGCCACCCTGTCTGTAACGTTTCACAAGTAGAAAGGTCATTGGGAGCTCAAGTGATTTCACTGCAGTTGAAGGACTGAAGCCAGAGCAGAATTGTTTAAGTAGGAATGTGTGGTGGAAGCTTAGACTCTGGAGAATCTTCGAGTTTTGAAGATTTGACTCTGAAGGGCCCTGAGAAATGATAGCACAATGGGCAGAGAAGACTGAGATTACAAAGGCTTTGTTTTGTGTTTAAGGTTAGAGGTATTAGCTACAGCATATTCTCAAGATCGCTCTCATTCATTGTGTAACTATGATTTTATTTAACCCTCTGAGGAATGCTGAGTACAGGAGATTCCCTCTGTGGACGAGGACACTGAGGCAGAGAGAAGTGCCCACAGCGCTGCCGTGCTGTGGCACGTGACTGCTACAGTGGCTGTGATGGCTCGTTTTTCCTGTCGTGTGATTTATGACTGCTCGACATGGAACTTTCCTCCTAGCAGCACTTTGTGAGGACACTTGGTCTGCATCAGTCCTCAGCACACACAGTGCTGGTCCTCACTCAGACCCCATTGCAGTGGGCAAGGATAGTATTGGAATGTTTTGTTTTGTTTTGTTCGAGGAGGGTTCTTTTGGTTGTCCTGGAGCCTCCCAAGTCTTTGAGATTAAAGGTATGTGCTCTCACATCCCTCTAACTCCAGGTCCAAGGACTCTAGCGCCCTCCTCTGGCCTCAGCAGATGCCCACATATGCACATACCCACACACAGACACATACATACATAGGATTTTTAAAAAAGTAAAATCTTTTAAAAAAATTGATACTAATTATTTTGGAAATACCAAGCAGGATTAGAAATCAAATGAAAATTTAAGAAATAAAAATATTGATCTTTATAGTTTTAATATCAGAATCTAAACTAATGCGTTCTTTTATTTTTCAAGGTTGGAATACACACTAAAGTATGGTTTATCGCTGGTATCTTTCTGCTATTGACAATCCCTGTGTCCCTCTTAGGGATTCTGCAGCACTTAGTGCATTACACGCAATCCGAACTTCAGAAACCTATTATAAGTTTATAAATATAGTTTATATATAATATATAAATATTATAGTTTAAAAATATATAAATAAGTTTAAAAATCTTAATATATTTGCTACTTCTAGTGTTGACTAACATAATTCATAAACATGATATTAAATGTTGTTTTTATATTTTATTTTCAATGGGATTCTTTTTTTTTTTTTTTTCAATGGGATTCTTTGGATGGTCCCAATACACAGTTTGGATAGTGTAAGTATATATTTTATTTTATTGCATTAAGGATTCTTGGGCTGGAGAGATGGCTCCCCTCTCTCTCTTTTAATTTTTGAGATGGGGTCTCACTGTATTTCTGGCTGTTCTGGAACTCACTCTGGAGACCAGGTTGACCCTGAATTTACAGAGGACCCCCAGTCTTTTGACAGAGGTTTCTGTCTTCCCCAGTCCTGCAGCTGTTCAGTCCCAAGAAACACACAGAACTCTACATTAATTATGAACTGGTTGGCCTATTATCTCAGGCTTCTTATTAACTAATTCTTTTTAAATATTTTTTATGGTTTATTTAACTTTTATCTTATGTGCATTGGTGTGAAGGTGTCAGATCCCCTGCAACTGGATCTTCAGACAGTTGTTAGCTGCCATGTGGGTGCTGGGAATTGAACCCGCGTCCTCTGGAAGAGCAGTCAGTGCTCTTAACCACTGAGCCATTTCTCCAGCCCCCTATTAACTAATTCTTTTTTTTAAAGATTTATTTATTTATTATGCATATAACATTCTGTCTCCATGTATGCCCGCATCCCAGCACAAAGGGAAATCTCTGAGTTCAACACTAGCTGGGTCTACAGAGTAAGTTCCAGGACAGCCAGGGCTACACAAAGAAACCCTGTCTCAAAAAAAAAAATAAATAAATAAATAAAAAAAGAAAGGAAAGAAAATAAAGTCTGAATTTTTTTGTTTGGATTTTTCTCTGTGTAACAGTTCTTTTAGCTGTCCTGGAACTTGCTTTGTAGATCAGGTTGGCCTCAAACTCACAGAGATCTGCTTGCCTCCACCTCCCAAGTGCTAGAATTAAAGGCATGTACCACCACTGCCCTGCCAAGACTGAAGTTTAAAAAAAAAATGGGTGCTGTTCTAGGAACTTAAGAGCTGTAAGGAGTGTCTTTGGGTGGTGCTTCCTACAGTGTAGTAACTGAAATACAGTGGCCCACACACAGTGTTGGAAGTTTATAATGGTTCCGGGTTCCAGGCATGGCAGCACATGCCTTCAATCCCATAAGGTGGGAGGCAGGGGCAGGCGAATCTGACTGTGAGGCCAGCGTGGTCTACAAAGTGAGGTCCAGGGCAGCCAGCGCTACACAGAGAAACCCTGTCTCAAAACATCCAAAACAAACAAAACAATTTTTAATGGAAATAAATGTGGTATGTCTCCAGAGATTTCCCTCATGTTCACCTTCATGACCTGTAGTCCTTTTTCTGGAAATGTAGTCTAAAGAAATGATCAGAAGTGTTTTTGCCTTCTGGGATGCAATGCCCATTATAAGAAAGGACCGCAAACGCTCTTCATTGGGTGGGCATAGTTTGTTCTTCCCATTGGCATTTAGATAGATACTAAAAGTAAAATTTAAGAAAAACACACAAAAGTTAGCTACTTTTAGTTGAAAAAATATTGGGGAACAAAATTTTATTTTAGTTCATGACAGATGTTAGAAAGTTGGGTTGTGACTGGTGGAATATGGAGTGTTTGCCTAGCACACATAACCCTGGGTATGATCCCAGCCTAACAGGGTAACAGTTCATATGTACAGAGAAATGGCTTGGTGCCGATTTGTTTTGTTTGGGTTTTTTTTCTTTTTTTTTTTTTTGTGTGTGGGGGGTTGGTTTTTGTTGTTGCTGTTGCTTTTGAGTTTTGAGACAGGGTTTCTCCATAGTTTTGGAGCCTGTTGTGAAACTTGGTCTGTGGACCAGGCTGGCCTCGAGCTCACCAAGGTCTACCTCTCTCTGCCTCCTGAGTGCTGGTATTAAAGGTGTGCGCCACTACCGCTAGGCCCTCAATTTCTTTTTTCGTTTTTTTTTTTTTTAAACAGTACTTGAGCTAGAACCCAGGGCCCGTGAGTGTAGGACACGCACCTTGCTTGGCCCTGACTCCAGTGCAAGGATCTGAAGAAGGATCCTTACTGCTTTCCTATCCTGGAGTAGTTTAAATGAGCATAAAGTGCCTTGTCATTTTAATGGGGGAAAGTAAGCTTTCAGAGATGCTTCTTGCTGTTGAAGTCCTGGTTGGTTATTAGAACTGACTCTAATGTCATGAACTTTTATTCTAAGAAGTCAGGCCAGCTGGACTAACAGACTGCTCTCAAGGTAATTTGTATGATGTAGATTTCATGGTCACAATTTTATTGAAACTGTACTTCTTTAATGTGTTGATTTATAAACCGTGTGTGTGTGTGTATGTGTGTTGTGTAAATGTTACCCAAGAGACTAATAATAATAATAGAGTTTTTATAAAAGTGATGGTAATTTGTGTTTAAAAGCTTAACAGGTATATTTCCCTTCCCTTTTGACTGAAGGAAATCTTTTCTTCAGTTCATGTCATTTGTTTATTGCTTGAGTTACTTTATGTAAATACTTTGAAACATCTTCAGGAAAAATGTTACATATGTCTTGAGAAATTTCACATGTAAACCTCTGCAGTAACGTATTAAAAGCTCTAAAAGATTGACTAATCAGCCTTAAATTCCACCTGGAATGTTCCTGTAGAGCAAGCTCTGGTTTCGGCTTTAATAGGCAGTCCCTGTCTTCCTACTGCAGAATGATGAATGTTGCTTTTGTTTCTAGTTTGCTATGTACCGCCTCCTGCTGTTTTATAAAGTGCTAAGAGAAGAGCTCAGCTTGTTTTATAAAGGCAAATTTCTTTGTGTCAAACTGACAGTCTTTGTCTCATTCTGTATTCTGTATTGTGTGCTCTTAAATATTCTTTCTTTATAAATGCCAATAAAACTGTTGTTTAAAGGAGTTTCTTTTTACAGTAATGTGAAGACAATGCCAGAATCACTGGTGCC